TTAGCCCTAACATAGATTACTTGCAGGTCTCCCTTGAAATGCAGGTCTCCCTTGAAAAAGAGATCTATGATCTCAATGGGACCAATCTGGTTAAATAAAGGTTTGAAATGACCCAACAAAAATACTCTGGAGCCGCCACTGATGGGATAGGTGTTGAATCATCAGTCCTCAATGTTGGAGTGATGAGGCCAGAGCTTAGATCTTTATAATTTTTTTAACGTATTATAGGCAATCTTGAAACTTCAATTAATCTTAATTTAACAAATAACAATTCTATCAAACTATCACTCAGTGTGACTCCCTAGTCACTGCTGGTGAGTCCTTCCGCTTCACACAAACCCACAATCCCACAATCATTATGCACTACATTAATGCACATCATGTTTTCTTAATACAGTGAGCCATGCTCTCTGACTATATTTTGCACAGCCCTCCACTTTAAAGTATTATACACTGTAGTTTGCGATGTATTCTCATATTATCATTGTCCCAAGTGTTTTCGTTTTTCAGCTGTTAAGGTTCATTGTCTTGTTACATTTAAATGTGGTGTGAATACTTGTCTCTATTCATTTTTAATGCTAAATTGTTTGGCAATAAACTTGATTTTGATTCTGATTCAAAGATTCTCACAGATAGTTTCTGTGATATTCACAACATTTGATACACACTTTGCTAATATTATGGCTCTGGTTGCTCTGGTCCTTAGGAGTTGTCTTAGCAGAGCTCTCATTGCTGTGGTCTTTTTTTTTTAGTTAATGTGTGTCTGCGGGAAAAAAACGGAGTACCCGGGGTAAACCCATACTGGCTTGGGAACATCACGCCGCCTATTAATTTATAAACATAAGTATCACATTATATTGATCATATATATTTATAAACAAATAATCGGCCATGATTACAGCGAAAACAGTCACATCCAAAACGCTGATGCCAACTTGCAGAGCTACCTTTAGTAGACCCTAAGCACAACAATGCCACAAACTTCTGGCCCCCGAGCCTCAGCAAGCGAGGACTCTGGGAGGCTCTCATCGCTCTGGTCTTAAGGAGTTCTCTTAGCAGAGCTTCATCACTCTGGTCATTTTTTTTATGATGTGTGTGTCTGCGGGAAAAAACGGGAGCACCCGGCGTAAACCCGTACTGGCTTGGGACTGGGAGCATCAAGCCGCCTCTTCATTTATAAATATAAATGATCAATAAATCTCACATTATATTGATCATTTATATTTATAAACAAATAATTGAGCTGAAGCTGTTTAGAAGGGTTCGTGGGTGATGTCGCAGAATGACGTTAGCAGGCTGCATAAATAGCTTGGCTCGCTGCCGTTACAGTCTGGGTTGAAGGCATCCACTGATGCGGCAATGATACCACCGGTGACAGTCACTAAAGCGCTGACACACAGAGCAAATCTTAGTGCACCTCTAGAACCATAACGCCACACACTTCTGGTCTCATCCTCATCAAGTGACGACTCTGGGATATCCCCTTCTTTCTTTGTTGTTAGGTCCTCCTGAATCAAGATTTGCATCCTTGACTCTTCCAGTTGCTCCTGAAGATCTTCCACAACTTTTTTCAGGATTTCATTTTCCTCGTTTTCTTTCACAGTCAGAGACTGAAGTCTAACCAGCTCATCTGCATGGCTCTTATCTCGCTCATTCCGAAATACTACCATATCCTGAAAATCGTTCTGTGCTTGTCTCAACTGTTCTATCCCTGCCTGTTTGTGTGCTCTCACAGAGTCAAGTTCAGCAGTAATGTTGGCATTCGTCTCACTCAAAGCCAATCTCTCATCTTCCAGCTTTCTTGTGTTTTGAATATTTGTCTCACTACTTTCTCTTAACTCCAACTGATGAGAGGCAGTCACTGACTCCACCATCTCGTGTATCTTTTCAGCAACGTCCCCTTCTTTCTTTGTTGCTAGGTCCTCCTGAATCAAGATGTGCATCCTTGACTCTTCCAGTTGCTTCTGAAGATCTTCCACAACATGACGTGTTGCTATAGCAACGCCTGTTGTTTACTGCGGTTCCTTATAGATAGAGAGATAGAGATATAGAGATATATATAGATAGATAGATAACTACATAGATAGATAGATAGATAGATAGATAGATAGATAGATAGATAGATAGATAGATAGATAGATAGATAGATAGATAGATAGATAGATAGATAGATAGATAGATAGAGAGACACTTTGCTCATAACTAACGTTAGCGATCTTTTATACTTCATGCAATCTGCACAAACTAGATATCATATGAAAGCTGAGAGTCCACAGATTCTGTTGGTATAAGTTTCATCACTGTGCGATCAAACTCACTCTTAACCCTGTGTTCTAGTATGATAAATAAAAGAACATTGTACCTTGAAAATCAATGCATTCTAATAGCGGGTACATTTTACCCGTTGGCGGTTTTAGGTATACAGCGACCCCTGGCGGTTCAAGTGTTTAAAGCTCCCATGTCATGCTTTTCCGGTTATTACCCGTCCCCTTGTGTGTTATGAAGGTTTTTATGCATGTAAACGGTGTGCAGAGTCAAAACCCTCAAAGTACACCCTGTAGCGAGTAAAACTCTAACACAGAAAATACCTGCCTCGTTGGAGATACGTCACTGCCCATTTGATTCTTCCGGGTACCGCATGATGTCATGCGGTACCCGGAACGAAATGGACCAATCCCGAAGAGCTATGGCCACACCCAGCGGCGCTGGCCGCACCCTCTGCCAGCCTAACATTTACTGTTGGAAGCTCTGGTTCAGTTCACAATCGATCCAGTCATGCCACTGCCAAGGACCTGTTTCCTGAAATGTGAGGAGAAATCTGAGCTGTTTGTCCTACCGACGGAAGAACCACGACGAAGTCAGTGGTTGAAATGTCTTTTTAACACTGTTCCTTCAGAGGTTCGAAGAACCGGCATTTCACAGACGAAAGCTTCCAAAACATTGCCCAGTTTGAGGCCGGATATGCACAGCATTTGAAACTGAAGGACGATGCTATTCCTAGTTTGTTTGGACCGTTTGGAGCAGGGGAAGATTCGGGTACACAACCTGTAAGTTTGCATTGTTATTTGTGTATTTATCAAACAAGACTGTTTAAATGTGTAAACTGTGTGGGACTGCTAAGCCATTGACACAGTGCTAACTGTGCTAACTAAGTTGCTAGCGTTTCCATATATCAACTCTAATATCAGCAGATGGCCTTGCATACATGTATCTCATAGCAGGAGAATGTCTGCATTCACACACAAAATACCTATTGACAGTATACTCCGGGTGATTTGCCGTGCGGTCAGTCGCGAAACGTAATTACATTATAGCTGGCGTAGCGTGTTTGCTACCGATCTAACCAACGGAGCTAGACATGGGTTTGCTCGGAAAAACATTTATGTTATGCTACGTTGCTAGCGTTTAAATATATCAACTACAATGTCAGCAGATGGCCTTACATGTTTGTCATGGCAGGAGAATGTCTGCAGTCACACACACCGGGTGATTTACCGTACATTGTGACAGTACATGTACATACTGCATGTATAGCTAACGAGGCTAGCTATACATGCTAGCGCAAAACAATGTATTCATGCAAGTTACAATGTATGACCGAACGTAGCAGAATACCCATATAAGATTGCAATTATAAACACGTTATTGCTAGCCTAATATGAACCACTAGCTTTTGTTCTTAGTAGTTTTATTACACTACATTATAGTTGCCGTTCCTCCGAGCTAGCGTTCATATCGTGTTAGCTACCAAAGTAAACAAGAAAGCTAGGTTAGCTTATTAGCTGGCAAGCTGTTCATTAGATGGATTAGATAGATCCACACTCCTACCACAACTACTACTAACGAATCTAAAACAACTAAGTTTCTCTAATATTTTGTGATTTGCATTTGATTTCGTCCAGCCAGATCCTGGCGGACAATACATGACGGGGACCGGACTACCACACTGAGGCCTCGTCCTAAAAAGCACTGGCTGCGCCCAGGCAAGATGCGGGGAGGAATGGATGATATACCGTGTATATATGTATATTTATGTTCATTTTGTACATTTCTAAAAATAAAGTTTAATGGAAATACTTAGTAGGCCTATCCTTTCTTCCCTGAATTATTTGCTCCTATAACATATCATTCATATATAGCAAACCATGATTTGATTTCTCATCAAACAGTAGTAGTTTATTACAGGTAAAAATAACTTACTCTTTGTTATGACCGGCTCGTAGGCCACAACGGAAAGACAAGGAGACATACATGAGTTTACAAAACCACGGCACATTTATTGTGGTAAATGCAGAGATAGGTGGTCGAGAGGATCGCCGAGCCGCTTTGGAGAGAGACAGGCCCGCCGTGTGACTCCGGGCAGCTGGGCATAATAGCACCTCGGCTCCGGAGGTGTCCGTGATCGCGCTGATTAGCCTCTTCAGCTCCACCCCAATCGTAAAACCTGCAACACACCTGCACAAAGGCACACACCTATCAATCATCAAACCATGGGGTCTTATTTCATTACGTTGAATGTTGTATCCATGGATGTATAAAGAGTAGTTCTACAGCAAAAGTATTCTCCGTCGGGACTTCCTCCAACAACACCACGCCGTTATCTTGATTCTGATTGGCCAGAAGACATCAGCAAAGATGTTTTATTGAGAAGACAATCACTACGTGACAAAAGTTTTCAAAACCGTTTCTAGTCTTCGGCATTTCCAGACAAGCGGCTGCTGAAATCAATCTTACTAGCTGCTGTCTGTGCAATTTACTCGGCGCGAGTTGGCAGACTTTTCACTGTGAACGTGACGTATGATAGTAAACGTTGGAGATCCAATGGGGATACTGAATGGCGGATCTGAGTGATCTCAATCAGTAATGCATGACACAAACCCAAAGTTTTTTCACAAATTTACCCGTTGGCGGTTCTAGTGTTAAATGTAATTTAAAAAATTTAAAAAACATACAATATACTGCATGTAAGACTATATAATTATTAGAGAATTAGCCAACCTGTATAGGTTGTCAACAGCCAGTTACTCTGAAAAAGAAAGAAGAAACAACATTTAACATTGATACTTCATATAGTTTAGCGAAATGTATCACATGGAAGCAGCTTACCTTAATGGTGATAGTGCACTTGCCACTCAACCACTATTTTCTGCCCACTTTCAAATTTCTGTAACATAGTGTGAATATTACTGTTAAGTTCAAAAACATCATGATACAAACAAATTACAAGACAAAAACAAAATGTGTAACAGGGTTTTTGCTATAATTTAACAACTTCCTACACATAAAAACATGTGATGCCTTACTCCCTCCCAAAATTGGTATGAATTGTATCTATTATTGTGATCAAGTTCAGTTCCGATTCGTTTTTACAACAAATCAATAAATGGTGCGCTTCTACAAAACAAAAAACAACATGACTGATACATTTAAACAAACTGCTAACAGGAGATTAACTACAATATTAAAAAGTGTACATTATCTTTGGAAAATAACACAGGAATAATTAAAGTTTGAGGTGTGTGGGTTTTACATTCACAGAATTACACATATTTCTGGGGGATAAACAATTATTGTCGTGTTAAGGGACTCTCTTTACTTCAGTAGGCTACCTGTTGGATTTTCAGTTTGTAGCAAATATCACGGCATAACAACTGAGAATATTATCTTAACTGGAGTTAGCTCCAACTGAGAATATAGCTTAACTGGAGTTAGCTCCACTGAGAATGAGAATATAGCTTAGTGATACCGATTGCCAGCATAAAGTCATATTTATCATTTCATTTAAAACTTACCGCGACTCGACTTTTGCAGTTTTCCACCGACAATCCTTCCAACTGACTTCCTCTTGAGGGCGCCTTTTTTTCGCGCTTATTTGCTTCAAGTCAGATATTGCTGGGGGATAAAAAAACGATTCCAGTGTTAAGGGACTCTCTTTACTTCAGTAGGCTACCTGTTGGATTTTCAGTTTGTAGCAAATATCACGGCATAACAACTGAGAATATTATCTTAACTGGAGTTAGCTGCAACTGAGAATATTAGCTTAAAGATCTGGAGTTAGCTCCAACTGAGAATATTAGCTTAACTGGAGTTAGCTCCAACTGAGAATATTAGCTTGACTGGAGTTAGCTGCAACTGAGAATATTAGCTTGACTGGAGTTAGCTGCAACTGAGAATATTAGCTTAACTGACGTTAGCTCCAACTGAAAATATTAGCTTAAAGATCTGGAGTTAGCTCCAACTGAGAATATTAGCTTAACTGGAGTTAGCTCCACTGAGCATATAGATTAGTAAAATACCGATTGCCAGCAGAAAGTCATGTTTATCATTTCATTTAAAACTTACCGCGACTCCACTTTTGCACAGTTTTCCACGAGAGATGGGCGAGTCGTGATTCATCCGGATCATTAACCCGGATCCTAGAAATGAGCTGGTCGTGACGAGTCTCCCCTCTCCATTAACCCGAGTCCTTGAGTCCCACACTTGGTGTGACGTACAAATTAAAACTATAAATTGCGTCACTCGCTACTCTCTTTATAACATGTAAAATCACATTACAACGTACCCCAGTCCATCTGCCTACCCTTTAGCAAGTATACAGGATAGCTGCCTGCCAGAAGTTATCGTTTGGCTCAGGGGAGGGGACGCGGATCAGTGAAACTTCCTGCAGACTCGTGGGGACTCAGAGGAGCCGACGGCTCCTAACCGTAATAGCATAGCAGATCCAGCAATCCATACTCGTCATGTGCACGAGCATAGCCCCTCCTCCAGCACCCGGCTCCCGCGCTATATTATGCACGAGTCAACAGCAGACTCGCAGATTCGCAGATTCGCAAATCCTGACTCGCTGCAACACACAGCAGAGCAGACTCGTGCGGACTCGGAGCCGTAACCATATAGCAGCAGATCCAGAGATCCAGCAGACTCGTCGTCATGCACGAGTCAACAGCAGACTCAGATTTGCAAATCCTGACTCACTGTGCAACACACAGCAGAGCAGACTCGTGCGGACTCGGAGCCGTATATAGCAGCAGATCCAGAGATCCAGCAGACTCGTCCTCATGCACGAGTCAACAGCAGACTCAGATTTGCCAAATCGCAAAATAACCCTTTTTTTTGTGATCAACATTTTTTATTAAAGCAAAATACACTGTGTAGCGGAGGTTAATATAACGTCAGTTTAATAGATAGATAGATAGATAGATAGTACTTTATTGATCCCAAATTGGGAAATTGTTGTTGTTACAGCAGCATAAAAGGCATTTTACAATAAAACAAAACTACAAAATATACAAGAATAGAAAGAAAAAGAAAATAAAATACAAAATATACATGTCGAAATAGAAAATATACATGCAGATATTATATATATACATGGGCGTCGCAGCCATTATATGAGGGTGGGACAAGTCCCCCCCACTTTTTCAAATGATTAGTTTAGACCCCCCCACTTTTACTATGCGGAAAGTCCGTGAATCGGTCTATCCACTCGCTGCACTTTGTCGAGCGCTGTGTCAGTGCTTCATTATCAAATGAAATCCATTCCACTTGCTTATTGAGAGAATGCCCAAATCAATGAAACTCCGTTCCATGTTTTCACTGCTACTTTGTACCAAGGCAGATTCTCACATAGCGCGCGCATGTTCAAGGAGTGATGTCATAGTTGGACAGCTCAGATCTGTTGTATGAAGCGATGCCGGTAGCGGAGGTAAGGCACACACACCAAATGTTCAGGAAATGGTTAATACAGCGAAAATCAAAGCTGACGATCTCTTGGTTTGATATGTTTTCTCCCCCAGACAACATGGACATAAGAACATTTTTTTCAAAGAAGAGGAAAGTAAGTCATCAGCTGGTAGCAGTTAATCAGTTAACAGTGATGGCGGTGTCTCACTTCTGGAGAGGAGTTTCGTCTTTATGTCATGATAGAGAGATACAAATACTGAATAGTTTAGATGAGAAAAGGCATTGAAATGCCAGGTTACTAGTATTTATCAGTATTTATTATCACTTCACCACCTCTCTTGACATCTAGGCACTTGAGAGTGAGTCAGAGGCAGAATACAGGGACAGTGGAGAGAGGTCCATTGCTGAGGTGAGTGATGAAAGGGAAATGACAGTTGAGAGTAAATTGTGATGTGGACTCTCATCCCAGGATTTTAAGGAAATCAGTGGGGATCTTGAACAGGAAACATTTCAGTCAAGGGGCATCATATGACCAATATAGACAGAAGAGCAACATTTATTTGAACATTTAAGTCAATGATACCATTCCTAGGTGAACTTAACATCTGTATGGAGTCAGATCAGTCTCAATATTAATAAATGCTCACAGAAGGATTCACAAATGTATTTTGCGATTTATATATAAATGACTCTCCACAACAATATCTCTCAATGCACTCACAAATATTTATTGTTGTATATAAATGTACAAAAAATGGGCATTTAAACTGCTTTTTATTAATTCAAAGACAGCTCTGAATTAATAATCAAATATGTTTCCTTTCTTTACTACTGAAATTACAAAATGTACCCATCATTTTCCTCATGCTAGTATAGCCACATAAAAGTATCAAACCACCTGTTAAAATGCACCAGAATACAGGAAATCTATATTTTTTTTCGCCCCCACACCCCCGTTAAAAATGTCCCCCCCACATTCAGGATGCTTCCTACGCCCATGTATATATATATATACAAAGATATATATATATTCAAAATATATGGAATAATAATATGCTCGTGAAATGCATCAACTTTTCGGTTTCACCGATAGGATTTCTACGGTCTTGGTGATGCTGACTCATATGACTAAAATGACTCGTATGATCCGGATCTCTTCAATGACTGACTCAGAAGACCCTGAGTCCCTAAAAGAATCCGGATTTGCCATCTCTATTTTCCACCGACAATCCTTCCAACTGACTTCGGTCTCTATGGCGCTTTTTTTTCGCGCTTGCTTCAAGTCAGATATGCTGCGTTCAAAAGACCCCGGAAATGGGAAAACTCCAACTTGAAGTTATACTAATTCCCACGGATACATAACCACAAGACAGCAAGAAGATACAACTACAAATACAATAGGGCTTAAGACCCATAGTAGTATTGAAAATATTTGATTTGATTTGAACAAAAAAAGAAAATAAATCTGTATTTCTAACAAAGAACTTGAAGGCTATTCATCGGCTTTTTCCAACTCAAAAATGGGACTTCCTAGTTCCCACGAATGCAGCATAGTTTAAATATGGGATGAAAAAGTTAATGTCAGAAAAACATATTAATAACTGTTTTCTTTAAGAAATGTATTGTTATTCATTATTAATAAAAATTATAATAGTTATTTAAATGACAATATTTAACCCAAATGTAAGACAAATTAAAACATTGTTTTATTTTGTATTTATTGGTGTTAGAATGTCACCCTCAGGATCCAAAAATTGTCACAGTTTGCCTCCAAGTCCCTTCCTCCAGCCACACTCTCTCATCCTCTGCCCTCTGCTTTACGATCTGTCCCTGTCTCAAGCCCCTGCTCACCTCCCAGGCCATGAACTTTCTCCCTAGACCTGCCATCCTCGAGCGATCTGATGCCCTCAGACTTTTTCACCAGACTTCATCATTCCCCTGCTCACCTTTTCTCACTTCTCTCATCAGCCACTCACTACATGTACCGGTCAAGATCCTTTTTTCTTTGTCTTTTCATTCCAGCTGCTATATAGCTGTCTTGAGTTTTTGCTTTTGAACTTCTGTCACCCGATCCTGGACCAGAACCTGCTTACCTCCCTGCATATTGTCTATCTACCCGTTACCCGTTCACCTGCCTGCCTGTTTGCCTACTTGCATCTGCCGTAAACTAATTTACAATAAAACATTGCACTGCTTCAGTCTGCCTGTCTGACTGCATTTGAATCCCCTGCTTCCCGCACTTCCAACCCACACTTGTGGAGCAATCTAGAAGTTAGATCACACATGGCCTGTTAGCACCCAGTTTGGCTCGTTGATACCATATTATATGGCACAGTTTATTGTCCCAAGAAGACATTTGCAATCAAGTTTTGCACATACAGCAACTCCAAATTATCTCAACCAAATATACATTCAAAGATCAAGACCATAAAACAGTGAACTTCACAAGTCTGAACCTAATCACTCAGACACTTCACTTACACAATGTAAAACATAGTAAGTCAACTGACTATAGCATATGCAAGAGCAACTGTATATTAATAAAAACAAGATTGCCATTTAGAAGCACATTAAAGCCCCCCCCAAAACAATAATGGTCACACTGACCTGGGGTCAAAGATTGCGAGATTCACATTACATTATCTCTGTGTGTTTGCTTACACATATAGCACGTACCATGTTAGCCACAGTGGTTTGGGTTTGAATCCAAACATCTAGGTGATACTGTGACACTGAAAGTAAAAAAGAGTTTGAGTATCCGGCCTACGATGAGTGAAATACACGTCACATCTGTCTCCAGAGCGGCTCAGTGAGCTAACCCTGGATTAATGTTTCTCTTTACTTACTAAGAATAAGAAAAGTCTCAGTAAAATAAGTTTGATACTTTTGTAAGTGATTATTAATTAATATTAAATTAATTATTATTAATATTTCACAAATATGCAGAAAGTTCTGTATAATGTGTATAATTTATTGCAAACTTTCTTTTCATAAGAGTTTGTTGATTTGATTTGTTTTAACGGGTAAATGCACACATGTCAAGAGTTCTCTTTATAGTCGTTCTATAATTTTATAAATGCAACAAACTTTAGTTTTTGTACATATAGAATGAAGTATAGTGTAGTATAAATATGTTTTGCGGCTCCAGACAACATTTATTTGATGGAAATTAGGGCAGATTGGCTCTTAAGATAGTAAAGGTTGCTGACCCCTACCCTAACCCGATCTCGGATCACACGGCAGTCCAATCCACAATTTATACTATATGTCACATGTAGGCCTTTTCAGGCTCACATCTAGATTAGCCTGTGCCAAAAGTGTTGCATCCTCGCCAAAAGTGTGCCGTATATTTACCAAAAGTGGCCCAGATATGTTTTAAGATAACCGGGCCACATTTGCTGCATCAGTTGTGGGCCACTTCAGGCTCATATCAAGATTTGCCGGTACCAATTGTGCTGGATCCTTACCACAAGTGGCCCACGTCTGTTTTTTAATATTTGGGCCATATTTTTCATGTCAAATGTGGGCCACTTTAGGTTTACATCCGGATTACTGTGCCACATCTTTGCCTAAACTGGCCCAGATATGTTTTAAGATAACTGGGCCACATTTGCTTCATCATATATGGGCCACTTTTGGTTTACACCCAGATTAGCCTTTGTCCATTCTGCCACATCTTTGCCAAAGGTGGCCCACAGTTGTTTTGTGATATTTGGGCCACATTCACCATTTCCCACATGGGCCACTTTAGGGTGACATCCAGATTACACATTGC